GGGTAAAGACAGCGCTGTGTCTGCAACTGTGTGTTTTGGGAATGTGTTTATTTTATGCATACATATTTATTTATAGATAGTATTATAAATACTTTTTTCTGTATACATGCATGTAATCATATATTTGATGTATAATTTTTTATAAGAACATGTGTACATTAATTGGTATAGTTATATAGATAAATAGATTTTCTTCTTGCCTGCATAGGAAAAATCACACTAGACTGCTATACAGTGCTACTAGTACGTGTGTGTATTTTAATAATTTTAATAATTTTTTACCTGTCTGTTGATGTGTAAGTTAATGTGCTCCTTACTTCTTTCTATCCTTAAATATATGCAGCTCTTTTCATGTGTGAAGTTATACTTTGTCTATATGTATGAAACACTCCAGAGTGACAGACCATAGCACACTATCTTGAGAGTGGTGATTCAAAAACAGTGAAACGCTAAGGGCCTTTTTCTCTCTGGTCCAATGTGAGGACTCAGGATACATTGGGCACTCAGTATCAGAGCAATTTGCTCACACTGCCAAATACTTTTTAGTGTGGGTCAGAGATCTCAAGTCTGGGTCTAAAGATTATGATTCCCCTGAGTTTGACACTCAGTCTCTTATTTTTGATTATTATTTTTTCTTTGTGGACCACACACTTTAGCATGCAGAAGGGCTTGTCAAGACAATGTTTTTCTTTGCATCTTCAGTTCATGGTAGAGGCCTCACTCAGACACCAAACTCTCCAGGTGTTTCGAATCCAGGTATCCTTCAGGCTCCTCTGTGGGCTTCTCTAGATCCAGCTTGAACTAGCCAGACCCGTCCTTGTGATGGCAGCCTTCAGAGTCTGGGGACATCTTTCTGGCTCAGAAATTCACGCAATCATCATACATGTCTTTCAATCTGGCCTGACTGTCCCTCCACCCTGATATCATCTGAAGCCACCCACTCTAGTAGATGTAGGGTATCCTGAGAACAAAAATCAAGCCAGTTGGCTGACCCATTAAAAGTCTCCTGTCCACTCACCCAAACTGGATCACTAGTGTACACCCACCTTTGGCGTGTGAAGCATGAGCACCTATCCTCTTTGATAGGTTAAGGAGATGTTGACACCTTTTCCCCTGAGAGGGTGTTGGTACCTAAGCTGGATCTGAATAAAGGTCACTTGTCAGGTGTTAACCATCAGTTTGGAGTCACACAGATCAGGCAGGAAAAAAACTCCTGTAAACATATTGGTTTCTTTCACTGCCACAAGGTAGAAAAGAAACTCAAGATTCTGTGGTCTGAATGTAAGGGGGTATATGTGTGTGATTTGGGGATTGTGTTTTTCTACTAAATATATATATATTGTTTATTTATAAATTTATTATATAGTTATATATATCTGGAATCTAGTTTAATGTTAATATTTTATTTGCATAAATATAATTTTTACAAATTTTTATTGACATTTAAAAAATGTTTTTCTCTTGTCTTCTTGGAAAATGCCATTCGAGATTGACCTGCAGCAATAAAAATGCATATGTATAAACAGGTACATTTTAACTTTTTTCATGTTTTGTATAAATGTGTTTGCTGAATTTTTATGTATTTTAAAAAATACACCACTTTATTTGGATATTATCTGTGTATATAGCTATGCTCTTCCATGTGTCTATATTTGTGAACTACTCCACAGTGGCAGATAATGCTGTTTCTGTGTTTTTTGAGTGTTTTTGGTGTGTTTTCAGGTGGTGAATTTTTAAAATGTACATGTATTTTTATTTTGGAAAAATCATATATAGAACAATTTACAGTAAGCTTGTCGTGATTGTGCAGAGATTCCCATACACTCCTGAAACCCTTTCCCCTCTGATGAACATCATACATTACTATGACGTAGTTGCCACAATATATGAACAAATATTGATACCCTATTATGAACTAAAGCCCAGTCTTTCTTCAGATTCCACTAGATTTATCTTTACTCTTCCAGGATCCCATTCAGCATTCTTCATCACTTTAGTTCTCCTATTTCTTTGATGCTTCTTTTTATTTTTAAGTTTAATTTAATTTTATAAACTATAAGAGGAACACCACAGATGGACAGCTGTTGTTCAAAGCTTGGCTATTACAGCTTCTGACTTGTTTTTCCATCAGCAAGAGACACTGAAGAAAGTGGATACAAAGAGAAGATATCTATTGATATTGAAAGGTAAATAAATGGCAAATCAATGGCTTTTCTTCCAACAACTTTTGATTGCACCACACTTTCCCTATGACATTTTTTCATTTCCATGTTTCTAAATGTAGAGATAGGAGTGTTGAGCATAGCAACAATAATTATATAGAAGTGTGCAAGCACATTATCTTTTGAGAAGGTTGTAGTGGGTCTCATGTAAATAAAGATGGCCAGTACAAAAAATCCCACAGTATTACAACAGTTATGTGGGAACTGCAAGTGGAAAGTACTTTGCAGTGGCTTTTTGCAGATTATGCCTTCCCATTATACAATATCATAAAATAGGAGATCATCAAAACCACAAAGATAACCAGTCCCATCAGGCCAGAATAGCAATGACCAAGAAACCGATCTTGTGTGTGTCAGTGCAGGCTAGGTTCAACAAGGGATATACATCACAGAAATAACAATCAATTTCATTGGGACCACAAAAAGGTAAAAAGCAAATTGTAAGTAGAAACAGGCCAAAAGAATGCAGCAACTCCCCTGCACATGACGCAGTGAGAAGTGAGTTCCACCTTTGCTTCTTCTGTAGTGGAGTGCTGTGCAGATGGCCACATACCTGTCATAGGCCATGCCTCTGAGGATGAGGACCTCAATATCCCAAAGAAATGAGTGGTAAAAAGCTGAATCATGCAGTTTTTGTAGGAAATGGCCTTCCTGTCTGTCATTAAATCAACCATTAGTTTGGGTGTCACTGTGGAGGTGTAGAAAAGGTCCCAGAGTGTGAGGTATGTATACAGGCTGGTTGGTCAGCTGACTGCATGGGATAGAAATCATAGTAATCAGATCCCCCAACCAAATAGCTAGGCAACAGAATGAGGAAAATAAAAAGCAGAAAATCTGGATTTTCTTGTTTTGAGAAAGTCACAAGAGAATAAATTTATTTACATTATTTCTATTTTCCATAATCTAATGCAATAAGGGATGACTCAAGTAAGTTACCCAAAATGAGAATAGTAGTGAGACAAATCATTAATGAGAATATAGATAATAAAGACTAAAGCATTATATAATTCTGAATTGTAAAATAAATGGGATTCTTGGCAAGGAATGAAGAAATTTCATAATGACCAACATACATTTATATAAAAATGCCCAGCTTCTTCCACTTATCTAGTCTTTCAAAATAAGCAAATTTTAAGAAAAGATATTTGAATTATATCTTATTAATCATTTATGGCTGCCTAAATGGGAAATATTATAAAGAGAAGTAATACTTCTCTAATTTAAAGATAATTCCATTAAACACAGCATAATACAAATGACTTGCTTTGTTTAATCATTTTATCCCTGACCCTCTTAGAGAATCCACTCACACAAGCTTTATCATTTCATGAAGTAATTTAACCTCTTCATATGCCCTCAAGTAGAAGCAACTGTACTTTGATTTCAAGTATTTATTTTGTAAAGCACTGTAACAGTAGACAAGATACCTAGCTTTTACTCACACCCTGTCATGTACTGTCTCTTTTCTAGGATTTCAGGCTCCCATCCATAACCTGGAGTCAAACTAGATATCTCTGAAGACCTTGTCACCTTCTGATAATGTATGACTCTTGATGCTTCATGAGTTTCGAGAAGACACCTGACTGCTTCCTCTTTACATTTCTTGCTATGTTGGATAAATTGAGACTATGGCAAAATAGTACTGGAGCATTCACTATGACTTCTGCCTTGGTTTACTTTTCTGTAAAATTGAAGTAATAATAATACCTCCTTATAGGGTGATTATTTGTATTAAGTAGCCCAATAGATTTCAAGTCCTTGGGACAATACCTGGAATGTACTGCATATGCAATGATTGTTAATTGCCTTCTTAGTCATTAAATATAATCTCCTATCATCATTACCATTACCACTGTCATCCCCTTCACTATCATTACATTATATCATCATCATTAGAAGAATAACAGCAAAAACGCACTTTTGCCTTTGCCACATTCAACTCTGTAAAAGTTAGTTCTTATTTTACCCCCAAAACACAATTCTCTATTTAGTGCCTATAATATAAATTCTCTATTTAGTGCCTATAAAAATCTAATATCTTTAAATTATATTCAGCCTTCAGGAACTCAGTCCAACCTATAATAACTGATTTATCTCCCATATGAGCAGTCTTCCAGTCAGGCACTGGTCATTCACCACTCAGCGAAACCATGTGATTACCTGATGGTGGAACATTCTTCTTAATTCTTTGTTCTGCTCCATCCCTGCCCATGCTTCCAAGGCCATGTCACACTTCATTCTGCCCAGTGATGCTCTCCTGTCTACACCAGTCCTTACTACTGTTTCCCCAAAATACTTAGTTTTTGGCATCCAAGAGATATTAACTTTGGGGATGTCTCTATTTGAATAGATTTGGGTTCCTGAGTGCTCTGCCTCAAGGTCCTAGGGAAAATGTATGCACATTGGGTCAGGAATTGTATGTTGTACTATCCCCTTCTTCACATTATCAAAGGCCCTAATTCAGAAGGTCTCTCTGATACTTAAATGCAAAAGTCTCCACCTCCGTGAATTTTATTTTTGTCTTCCATAAAGTGAGCACT